GAGGCAGAGTTTGAATCCTTCCCTTGCTCGGGAGGCTGTTCTGTGATCGCCCGACCTCCCCCGTCAATGGCAGGCCCCAAGTCAGAGCGTCGCACCAAGAGTCCATATCCCCTCCCGGTCCTGCGTGAGCCCCCCTGTTCTTTGGGCCTATGGGTCAAGGGGTGGTTTGCTGGTCTCCATCTGGTGGTGAGCCAGCCAATCACGTGCCCGGACCCTCCCAGCTGTGCCGGCAGAAGCGTGGACCCGATCTGACTCATGTGAGTTCACTCGAGAGCCTGGCGAACAAGGCTGCAGCTCCAGCCACAGACAGACCCCGCGTCCTAGCAACACCTGAGCCAGGAGATTGAGGGTTGGAAATAACACCCCAGTTTTCCATCCCACTGGGCACCAGCCAGCCCCCAGCCCTGCCCCCAGCTCGTCTGGCTGTGACATCCCCCGAGAGCCAGCGGGATGGAACCTCCCTGGGGGAAGGGCGGGGGGCAAATAAAATCTGCCCCATGTGCAGCAGTTCTGGGAATGGGAGGGGAGCGCTCGTAAGAAGCCAACTTCAAGGCCAGCTGGAGTTTCGTTCTGAGCATCCCACCCCACCCCCCTGGGTCAATTGCCGGAGCCGGATTCCCAGCTGTGGGAGTGTACCATTGTTCTAGTATTTACAGCCGCTCAGGCTCTGGAGAGAGGCCTCTCGCGTGCAAACAGTCTCTCCTCCAGCGGAGTATCGCCCCTTATCTCTGCTGCCGGATCCAGCAGGCGGGGACAGGAGAAGTCCCATAAAACGCAGGCGGGTGGGTTGGCGGAGGGTTAATCTCAATTGTATTGGAAGAGGGAGGGGCCCCGTGGAGGGTCCTGTCCCCTCAGTCAATCATTCACCTTTGTTCCCCGTTCCGTGCTGACTCAGGCGCTGGCGTTGGGCGATATATAGAGAGGGAAGGGGCCCTGGCTGCAGCCTCGCCTCAAGGACTCTGCGGTGCGTGGAGCCGTGCGGCGCCCACGGTAAGTGTTCCCAAGGCGGGTTGCACGATTGCTCACCAGTGGTGATGATTGGCTGCAGAGCACAGGGAGCCTTGCACGTGGGATGGGCCCAGAGTGAAATCAAATGGTTTTTAAAGCACAAAAAGCAGCGAAGTAGCCGGCATTCATTGATCTTCACTGTGAGTGAGAGTCAGGGTCCCAGGAATCAGGAGCAGAAATGAACTGGTTGATGTAATTGATTTGGACTGTCGAGGGGTCCGGCTGGGTCAATGGGCCGTAGCTCCACCGGAGTCAATGGGGCAGATCCCAGCTGGGTCAATGGGCCATAGCTCCACTGGAGTCAATGGGGCAGATCTCAGCTGGGTCAATGGGCCATAGCTCCACTGGAGTCAATGGGGCAGATCCAGCTGGGTCAATGGGCTGCAGCTCCATTGATGTAACAGGACGTGATGCAGGGGCAGGTCATGGCCCCGTGTCTGTCACAAACTGCATTTGTCATCTTGGCTTTGCTTGTAACTCTGATTCCTTCCATAACGACTTACAAGGACCATCTATAGGAGCGCCCTTCCCCTCTGTCACACCTGGGCAGGCCTGTGGCAAGGGGGGCAGCCAGAGAGGGGGAAATGTTCCATCTGACACTTTTCTCCATTGAAAATGAGGGTTTGGGTCTGCATCTTGGGGTCTTCAAAGTATTTGAAGGCTTCAATATCTGAGATCTAGGTGAGAGGATTATTCTAGGAGGGGTGGGTGAGATTCTGTGGCCTGCACTGTGCAGGGGGTCGGACCAGATGATCATAATGGTCCCTTCTGACCTTAAAGTCTATGAGTCTGTGAGTCTATGAGTCAGCAATTTGTGTCAATTTCGCCACCGCGCTTCAGCAGGGAAAAAATACAAGAAACAACCCTGAGAAATGGCATCGTTTGGTGTCACACGGCCAGAGTGAGGCGCTTTGCTCTTTTCCCAACCTGACCTCTCTGTGCCTTGCCATGTGGGCGGGACTTTTCATTCTGTGACCAACGTGAATCTTGCAAATGCTCAGAAAGGAGCTGGCGCTGTTTTTTGGCCTTTCTGAGGACGAGAGGTTTGGGTCACCCCAACGTGATGTTTCCCAATATTTGAACTGCCAGGGAGCCAAACCATCGGGTGTTTGTGCGGTTCTGCTGTCTGGTGCTTCTCCCCCACCCCTAATCTCGGCTCGAATTCCCTTTCCAGCCTAATTTTGTCCTGACTCTCTCCTGCTCCCCTCCGGCAGAGCTCGCTGCACCAGCCGTGAGAAGGCTCCGTTCAGCTCCCAGCCCCATATTTCTATATTGCTACAATTGACATTACATAATTATATTCTAGTATAATTACATTCTTAGTTTAATTTGGAGAGGAATCCAGTTACTAATAAGACACCAGTTACTATAACTTCAAGCCCTGGCCGGGTTGATTTAGATGGGATTGGTCCTGCCTAGAGCGGAGGGCTGGACTTGACGACCTTCTGAGGTCTCTTCCAGTTCTGATTCTATAAGGGGATGGTTGGATGAAATAACATGATCTTGGTAACTAATTGACCATTCATTGTCAGTTGGAAATAGGTCAATGGAGGGATGATAGGAGTTGCTATAGGGAACTTTCTGGGTGTCTGGCTGGTGAGTCTTGCCCACATGCTCAGGGTTTAGCTGATCGCCATATTTGGGGTCGGGAAGGAATTTTCCTCCAGGGTAGATTGGCAGAGGCCCTGGAGGTTTTTCGCCTTCCTCTGTAGCATGGGGTACAGATCACAGCTGGAGGATTCTCTGCATCTTGGGGTCTTCAAAGTATTTGAAGGCTTCAATATCTGAGATCTAGGTGAGAGGATTATTCTAGGAGGGGTGGGTGAGATTCTGTGGCCTGCACTGTGCAGGGGGTCGGACCAGATGATCATAATGGTCCCTTCTGACCTTAAAGTCTATGAGTCTGTGAGTCTATGAGTCAGCAATTTGTGTCAATTTCGCCACCGCGCTTCAGCAGGGAAAAAATACAAGAAACAACCCTGAGAAATGGCAACGTTTGGTGTCACACGGCCAGAGTGAGGCGCTTTGCTCTTTTCCCCACCTGAAGTGTCTTGGCCTTGCTGCGTGGGCGGGACTTTTCATTCTGTCACCAACGTGAATCTTCCAATTGCTCGGAAAGGGACTGGCACCGTTTTTCGGCCTTTCTGGTTTTCATTCTGTGACCAACGTGAATCTTGCAAATGCTCAGAAAGGAGCTGGCGCTGTTTTTTGGCCTTTCTGAGGACGAGAGGTTTGGGTCACCCCAACGTGATGTTTCCCAATATTTGAACTGCCAGGGAGCCAAACCATCGGGTGTTTGTGCGGTTCTGCTGTCTGGTGCTTCTCCCCCACCCCTAATCTCGGCTCGAATTCCCTTTCCAGCCTAATTTTGTCCTGACTCTCTCCTGCTCCCCTCCGGCAGAGCTCGCTGCACCAGCCGTGAGAAGGCTCCGTTCAGCTCCCAGCCCAGCCCCCAGCTCCTCCCAGCACCATGGGGGTTTCCTGGCTCCTCTGCCTCCTCACTGTTCTCCTGGCCACAGCCAGTGTCCAAGGTAAGTCGTCCATGGCTGCAGCCGCTTAACCCCTCCTGGACTTGGACCCCTCACACTCCTCGGCTCCCTGACCAGGGCCCCTCCCACACGTGAAGGAAACTGGAAGTAACTCTGGGCGCAAGGGCCTGTCCACACGGCGGTTATGGTAGCGGGGCCTGGAGCGGGGCTGGTAGAGCCCGTAGTGCAGACGCCGCCTGCCCCAGTGGAAGGGGGTTTCCCTCCCCCAAGGGGCTCACCTCCTGAGCCAGGGTGTCCAGGCCGAGGGGAACGTTCCCACCTCGGTCCAGCTGCATCCACTCCAGGGGGCCTTTTGTTCTGGTTTTTGTTGCCCAGCAATTTCCACCCTTCCCTTTCCCCAGACTGGGAACGGCTGAGTGCACCCACAGGGGTGTGTCTTTCCCTGAAACCCCCTTCATGTCTTGGAGACTCAAGGCCCTGTAATCGAAGTGTGACCCCGGGAGCCAGCCCATCAGAGCCTGCCCGTTGGTGAGCAACACCCACAAGGCTCTGGGCCAAGGCAGTTGGCTTCTGCCCCCCACACCTGCTTGTTGGACACCTCTGCTGGCTGGGCGGCAGCTCAGACAGCCTGGATGCTCTCCCCTCCCCGGTACTCCCCTATTTCTGCCCCAGGAGAGCATGTGTGCACTGCAATCCCTGCTTCAGCAGTTCTGGGGATGCTCTAGACACCTCCAGGCTGAACCCTGAGGACTTGGGGGGACTTAGATAACAGGAAGAGGGAAGTCGAGGACACACCCTCCGCCCCACCCCCTCCCTGTGTGTAGCTCAGCTCACTGATTGGTGGAGCCACTGGCACCTTCCACCCCTCACACCCTTCCCCCCAGCCCCGTTCTGCCTAGCGCCCCCCGGGCAGCTGGGATCCTTGACAGAAGGAAGGATGAGGATGGGGGAGGGATGCACTGGGGGCACACGGAGCCAGGGGGAGAATGGAGGACCCTGGGATGGGGCATAGGAAATAGAAGGCACACACAGTCCTGAGCATGCGGGATCCTGCTGGGCAGATGGGGAGCCCATGGCATACAGGGCATGAGGCTGGGTGGTTTCATGGCAATGGGGGGTTGCCAGGAGCCCCAGGCAGTGTGAGGAGAGTCACTCTCCAGTACTGGGAATATCTGCATCATGGGAACGACCTCTTAGGTGGGCGGGGCTTATTTGGAGGGTGGAGCTTAGGAGGAGCACCGCCCCCTTCAGCCATCACCAGTCTGCCCTCTACTGGGTACTGCTGGTCCTGTGGCTGAAACTGTCCCATTGCAGAGGGTCCTGGAAGTCATGAGCCCCTAAGTCCCTCAGCTTGCTGGGAGCAGGGGGTTGCGGGCTCAGGGATGTGTCAGCGCACACATGACATCCACAGAGCGAAGGAAACACTCACTCTTCTTTCTCCAGGACTAACATGTCAAACATGCTTCATAAATGGAGACAT